GCAAGATTCAAAAAGTTGCTGATGTGATCCGAAGGTTTCTCCGTCAACTTTTCTACTTTATTTGTTTTCTGACTTAATTTTGTGACAATTTCACATAAAGCTTTACACGTGTCACACATTTCCAATGTCTCTGTAGCTCCACTGCCGTTGTCGTCGTGGCGTTCGCGTCTTCTGGAGATATGAAGTTCCTCTTGGAGGAGCTGGCTCGGGACCCGCCTCCACCTCGTCAGTGGATCGGAAGTGAGGGCTGGGTCGGTGACCCGTACTTGCTCAGCTTCAGCTTCTGTGCGGGCACCATCGGGGTTGCCATTCAGCAATCCGTCACCCCCGGGCTGAGAGACTTCCTCCTGGATCTCTCTCCCTCAGACGTGGCCTCTTCCTCCGTGCTGACTGAGTTCTGGGAGGAGGCGTTCAACTGCAGTCTGACAAAAAGTAAGAAAAGGGTTTATAACCTGTAAGAAATGCAGACATCGCTCTGTATGTATTTTCATTTATGTTGAATTATGTTCTAATTCGACATTAAGATTGAACTCCATGTGTTGTGTTAAATCCAATCTTTACAAGTGTATTTCAACTCATTTTTGCAACATTTCCATTAAAAACAAACCACATCTATTCATCTAGCATCACACCTACACAAAGTGATTCGAAGCACTTGAAATAAATGTAAAAGAACACATTGAAGGAATAAAGAAATTTACGTTCACCATCTAAAATGTGACAATACAAATTTTAAAGAAATATTAATGCACAGACACGGTAAAGTGAGCTGAAAAATCAATCTCATACAAATGGGGAAGATGGAGTAGATGGTGATGTCAGAACCCTGATTTAAATAAGTTTAGCAGTTTCTGCACACGTTTTAGCTGAAAAACACACATTCTGCACATGGCCTTCCTCTGTTTATTTCTGGTTCTGGAATGCAGTAAACTCACCATATTAAACTCTAATGCTGTAATATTTCATTTGTTTTTTATGTCATATTTATTTTTAGTACTGTCATTGAACTGAAATTGTTTTTGAATGAAATGTTGAATCAAATAACTGATGATTTTAGGTGATAAAGTAAAAGAAAAAAACAGCAAGAAGAGGGTTTTCTTTTTAGTATACAACTTTGAGAAATAAGCACTAAAGCAGCAGGTTTTAATTGGATACTTACATAAAACGACTTTAAATAGATTGTTTATATATATATTTTTTTATAGATTTTGTGGTTATTAATTAAGACAGCGTGTTCTCTAACTTCAAGATAGTGGCTTTTTTGGCAAATTATATATATATTGATGTTTTTTTTATTATTATTATCTGTTTTTAGATTCTGATCTGAGCAAAAAAATGTGTGACGGAACTGAAGATATTAAAGCCCTCCGAAGCCCGTACACTGAAACGTCTCAGTTAAGAATTAATAACATGGTGTACAAGGCTGCTTATGCAATAGCTCATGCCATTCACAGTGCAGTGTGTGAGGAAACAAACGGCTACACTCAGTGTGACAAACGCATCATTTTAAAGCCCAACGAGGTCGGTTCAAGTAATTGTAGTAGTTACCCAAACATTATCTTTGGAAGCTACTGTTGTCATTTTCTCTCTATTTTTTTCTTTCTTATGACACAGGTTTACACTGAACTAAAGAAAGTCAACTTTTCCCAAAATGGTTATCATGTGTCATTTGATGTTAATGGAGATCCAATGGCTTTTTATGAGCTGGTGAACTGGCAGAAGAGTGAGAGTGGAGTGCTTGAACCGGTGACAGTGGGGTTTTATGACGCATCGCTGCCGGTGGGTCAGCAGTTCCGTATCAATGGAAACTTAACCTGGGTGGAGGGCGACACACAAGTAAGTATCTCAGTTAAAAAGTTTACCAACTGAAAAATTAGTCACAATCACATGAGTCTAATTGTAAGAAATAATAAGAAGGTGGAGATAGTCAGAAATTATTTTATTTAAACTGATGTTTTAACAGTGATTCTTTACAGGTTCCAGTCTCCGTTTGCTCAGAGAGTTGTCCTCCAGGAACTCGTAAAGTGTTGCAGAAAGGAAAACCAATCTGCTGCTATGACTGTATACCATGTCCTGAAGGAGAAATCAGTAATATGACAGGTAGAATCTTATGTTTTCATGCATATTTGCCTTAGACAATAGAAATAAGATGAAAAAAGACAAACAATTTTTCATATATAAATATACTTTTTCGTCAGATTCTCCTGATTGCTTCCCATGCCCTGAAGAATTCTGGCCAAATTCACAAAGGGACACATGTTTCCCCAAACCTGTTGAATTTCTTTCCTTTGATGAAATCCTGGGAATCATTCTGGCCGTTTTCTCTGTCTCTGGTGCATTTCTGACTGTTACAGCAGCAGCTGTTTTCATTTACCACAGAACAACTCCGATTGTCAGAGCCAACAACTCTGAGCTGAGCTTCCTGCTGCTCTTCTCTCTGACTCTGTGTTTCTTATGTTCACTAACTTTCATTGGAGCCCCCTCTGAGTGGTCCTGCATGCTGCGGCACACAGCGTTTGGCATCACATTTGTTCTCTGTATCTNCTGTGTNCTTGGGNAAACTATGGTGGTTCTAATGGCCTTTAAAGCTACACTTCCAGGTAGTAATGCAATGAAATGGTTTGGTCCTCCACAACAAAGGATGACCGTAGTGTCTTTAACCTTAATTCAGGTTATAATATGTATCATATGGTTGGTTGTGAGTCCTCCCTTCCCAGTGAAAAATCTGACCACCTACAAGGAGAAGATCATCCTGGAATGTGCGTTAGGCTCTGCTGTTGGTTTCTGGGCTGTGCTCGGCTACATCGGCCTGCTGGCTGTGTTTTGCTTTGTGTTAGCTGTTCTAGCTCGGAAACTACCTGATAATTTCAATGAAGCCAAGATGATAACCTTCAGCATGTTGATATTCTGTGCCGTCTGGATCACCTTCATCCCAGCTTATGTCAGCTCTCCTGGAAAATTTACTGTGGCTGTGGAGATATTTGCTATTCTGGCCTCCAGCTTTGGACTGATACTGTGTATATTTGCTCCAAAGTGTTTCATCATTTTGTTTAAGCCAGAGAAGAACACTAAAAAATATTTAATGAATAAAAACTAATCCAACATTGTCAAAGACTTGGAAACACAATTACTTTTTAAGCAGAGGTGATGGCAACTGTCACTTTAATTTCAAAAAGTTATATAACTGGAATACATAACATAATTTTAGTAAATTAAAACATTGCACAAGTTTACACTAGACTGACATGATGTGGTTTGTAAATGTTAAAAAAAGAAGCAAAGAACACATGTTGAAACAAGCAAGTTTTGCTGTAAGAATAAAAAAATATTTGAAGTTTGGTGTGATTTAACTCTGATTTAAATTTTAAAATATATATGTGTATTTTTAGTTGGTGTCTGTAAACATTTGGTTTCAACTGTATTTCCTATCTGTGATACGTGGCAGAATAACTTCCGGTTCAAAAGTCAATTATGCTGTTATCCAGTCAGTGATAGTCCATATTTTTCACTGTACCTACTTGTTGTTGTTGTTTTTTCCCCTAAGCGTTGGTATAAGAATTCATTAGTTAGCTTAAAGTTGCAGTAGGGAGTTTTGAGAAAACAGCTGACTTATGTAACGGCAAGAGGATAATAAAATATTTTTATAAAATTAAAATATCTATTTTTATTTTATTTAAAACATACCTTCCGCATACAAGCATTAGTTTAACCTGTATGTAACATTACCTTGTTGTGTGATTTAAAATAGCTTTAATTCACACTGCAGTGTCTAACTTGAGCTATTATTTTTTTTGAGAGTTTTAGCTAAGCACTTCCTCTAGCAGACTCAAGTACTTCCTGTTTGTCAGTGTAGGTAATATTGACATTAATCCAAAGGTATTATAGAATTGCCCCAAAACTACTTAATGTAAATTAAATTATTTGACACAATTAAGAGCAAGAGTGAAGAGATGAAGTCCTGTAGAGGGCGAAACATACTTTCATAGGCCACCGAAAAAAAAAACAACAATCAGCCCAACCAAAGCGGATTCAGTCAGTTGAAGACGGTGCTTCTGAACCAGTTCAGTTAAAAAAAAAATCATTCTTGAATGTTATCAGAGATGACTGGTGATGTCATGCGTTTTTCCGATGATCACCTGATCTGTTGTGCGCCGATAAAGACCAATAAAAACACACTTGCTCCCCACACACGCTCGGAGAATGGAGATTGGCCTGAGATTAGCAGTGAGTTTGTTCAATTTATTAATTGCAGTTGTTGGCGGCTCCTTTAATGATGACGCGGAACGAACGATTCAGTCAACAGACGCTTTGAACGGTGGTGTCAGCGCC